AGCAGCTGCCAGCAGGTTCCAGGAAGCTGGTATGTGGTTGTGGGTTTGGGGTGAAGGGGCGCATAGGGGATCGCTGGGTGGAGGGACAGATGGGGGAAGGTGAGTGCTGCTTCCCCCTGAGCCCAACATACCGACTTTTTTGGTATAAGGGGTGTTGACTTGTAGTTTTAGGGGAGGCCAGGATGGGGTGGCTCGGAGGGAAGTGGGGCATATGGATAGGGGTGTAGGGCTAGCTGATTTATTGTGACACGAGAAATTTTTTTTATGTGAGACTGCAAAAAATTAGACAGGGTGCAATCATAAGTAAAAGACAGATAAGTAGAATAGGTCTCAAGCATGGCATGACCCATTGGGCAATGCCCGAGTTTTATCAAGCAGAGAAGGGCAATTCTGCGGTGTTTTTTTTTGGCAAAGTTTGTCTCCCAGCTTTTGGAGGATGTTGACATTTTTTTTACCAGCCCTGTTTTATTAATGTAGAAACAGTATTTTTTCTTGGAGAAACATGTAGGTTTTACCCTGGCTGGCTGTAAGGAGAATAAGGGCCCTGCGGTTTTGTAAAGTAACCCGGGCTAGAGAGGTTATTTGCCATTGCAGGGATGCCAGGGAGCTTACAGATGCTTTCAGAGCAGCTTGGAGCCTTTCTTCCAGATTTTGGGAAGAAAGGAGGCTGTGTCGAGTGCTCCCCAACCCAGCCCTCCAGCCTCCAAGGACGTGGCAAATGTGAAACCGAGAACGAGGGGGAGAAATGCCGCAGGGCGGGCGCAGCGGGGAGTGGGAAAGGCTTTGAGTAAGAGGTTTTTTTCAGAATAGAATGTAAGCTGTGGCACAAGCATTACCAGATAGCAACAAGGGTAAGAATTATTGATAGATTTGAAGAGGGTGCTGTTACACCAAAAGAACCCACCCCTTGGAGCAGATAGAGTAGATAGCACAGGTCTGGAGATGTTGTATGTGCAGGAGCTGAATGAGCAAAGAGGAAGGCATATTGGGAGTCAGTGTAGATGGTTACCTGCTGCCCTTTAGATAGTTTGAGAGCCCGTGTAAGAGCAACAAGCTCCGCTTTTTGGGAAGTGGTGCCCAGAGGAAGGGACTGGGCCTCAAGAACAGAGTCAGCAGAGACTATAGTATAGGCCACTTGCCAGTGGCCTTGTGGGGTGCAGACAGAACTACCATCCATGAACAGAGTGAGGTCTGGGAACTGAAGTGACTGATCTGAGAGTCCGTCCCTGGGCGGAATCAGGGCCTCCACCAACTCCGGGCACGAGTGGGTAGGCCCTGCGTTAGAGGAGGGGAGATGGAGTAGGGATGCTGGGTTAAGGGGTGGTGAAGGCTTTAGAGTTATCCTCGGGTTGTCCAGGAACAACAAATGGAACTCCTGTATCCTGGAGGGGACTAGGAGAGAGAGCATCCGATGTCCCAGCAGTTTGTGAACTCTTGTGAGGGGAGAAGATAATGATATGGTGATGTAAGGAAAGTTTTAAAGCCTCCTTGGTTAGAATAGCGGCCGCCGCTAGCGCCCCTAAGCAGGGTTGCCATCTCTGAACAGTGGTATTGAGCTGTTTGGAGAGGTAGGCTACTGGGCGGTGGGAAGGGCTTACCAGGTGTGTTAGGACGCCCACAGCTATTCCATGGCACTCATCTGTGAATAAACAGAAGGGCTGAGAGGGGTTAGGGAGACACAGCAGTGGTGAAGACAGGAGGGTGTCGCAGAGAGCAACAAACGCCTTGTGAACCTCAGCGGGGGAGGTGAGGGGCCTCATAGGCGTTTGTTTGGCGGCCGCATACAGAGGTTGGGCTAACAGGGTGAAGTTAGGGATTTATTGCCTGAAGTACTCCACAAAGCCCAAAAAGGACAAGAT